TCAATTGAACGCTATTGTAAAACTAATATAAATATTTGTGTAACCCGATGATCAAAATCTAGACTTTCCCTATGCTGTAATAGAATAGAATTTATTTATACAAGTCGAAAAATAAAAAATTATATATATTAAATTATATCTCGTTTTATACCATTTCCTTTATCAAATCGTACTTCTGTTCCTTCTTTACCAACCTCTCAAATTACCTTTAAAAAACCTTTAATTTCAAATAATTATGCAGTTTCTAAGACACGATTATCTGAAAAATCTAAAAAATCCAAAGTATCAATTCAAAAAGAAATTAATATAACCGATTTAGAAGAAAATAATACAGAAAAATCTGAAGAAGATAATTATTCTAAAGTTAATGTAACACGTTATAAGGGGAAGTGAGCATATTATTATCAATATAATATTTTGGATTTAGGAAGCTATCCAACAAATGTTCGACATATACAAAAAAGTAGATATCATATTCCAAATGGTTACTGGGTTCAAGTTTATATTTATGAACGAGATGTTGTATGTTCGATCAATTATGAATATAATGGAAAAGTGACATTTCGTGTAACTTGGGAGGAAAAAAATGGAAAAAAAATTATGTAAATAGTTTGAAATCAGCTAGCGATGCTGCAAAACAATTTGTTGAGGTTGTATTTTTTCTATAATATAATAAAATATTTTATTTATAATTATTAATAAAGATTGTTTTAAATAGAAGATAACAAATACAAAAGGTTCTACTTTATCTGGTGTTATCTTATTTGGTCTAGATTTGGCATGTCTCAAATTACATTGTGAAAATAAAGAAAATTTAGTATCAGAAATTAATTCCCAAAAAAACCCATTTTCAGATCTTAAATCCAACTCACAAAAAAACAACGGTTAAAAAACTTGGCATCTGATATTTATTCAAACTCAAAAGATTTATTTAACTCTCATAATTTTTCAAATATTAGTTTAGATAGCTTAAGATTTAATATTCAAGATCAATTTATTAAAATTAATTTTTCAAATTCCGATAATGAATTAAAATCAATATTTATACTGATTCTATTTTGTGCCTGTGATAAGAGTTTAATTTCATGAGATAGTTATAGACAATTGGCAGCTGTTCAACTTTCCTTAGAAAGAGAATATCATATAGCTACACAAAAAAAGAAATAAATAAAATTATAGAAAATAAAATTACAATTAAAAGTTTTTATATTAATTTAACAAGTGAATCTTCAACAATTTTTAAAAAAAATAATTTAAATATATTTTTAGATAAAAATGAAGAAGTTTTTATTAATGGCAATCAAATAGGAAATGGATCAGTAAGATCTTTAATCAGATTATTAATTACATTAATTTCTGATCTAACAGAAGGTGATAATCCTATATTATAAAATAATAACATAATTAAAATTAAACTAGAAGGAGATGGATGACAGGTAGGATAGTACAATTATTAAGTAATATTGACAGCATGTATTTTAAATGAAAAAAATAAAGTACTTAGTTCAAAGCATCAGTATTGACAAGTAATATATTTATTTTTTTTTTTAAGAAAAAAATATTAATAATATTAATTTGTAAATAATATATTCATAGTATTTGTAGGCTCCAGTTTATATAGTCTAGTGGCTAGTGTACCAGAACCAAGTTATAAGGTTAATGAATCAATTCCAACTAGTTATGATTAGTATAAATAATGATCTTTCTATAATCCAAGGCTTGGCAGATATCAATTAGTATCCTTACTTAAAAGAGAATCATCTATATCTTTTCAGATATCACATGTAAACATTTACTAACTAGTCATGTAAATTGGGACATATGGACTCATATGAGATAGCTAGTGCTTAGATTAGTGGTTTAGAGATTGAGTTCGATTCTCAAAATATTTGTTATGTTGATAATGAAAGAAAGGTAAATAAGAAATATAAACTCTATACTTTGTACTTAGTTATAATAGCAATTATAATAGACAGTCTAGTTGATACTAGGTAAAAAATATATAAATTTCTGAATTCTGCACTTTCTAATTAAAAAGGTATCTAGATAGAAAGACCCTAGACAGGATACGATCTTGTAGTATAACATTACCTTTCTACAATAATATCTCAATATAATATCTATCAATTTACTGCGGTATTCTGTTGGACTGCTGATAGTAAAGTTGTAACTTGGGATTTTAAAGGATAATATCTTACTGGTCCAGTGTGGTTCACTACATAAGATAGATAGTTAAGTTGTGGGGTCTGTGATACTCACAGAATTACCAATAGAAACCTTTAGTATCAAATGAGAGTTGATTCTAATATGCAAAAAAAAATATATATATATTTATAGTATTTGCCTTTATTCTGAAACTGAAAAACATGAATCATTAACTATTGCTTATAAACAAATTATTGAAGAACTAACAGTTTTACATAATAATGGTTTTAAAGATAATAATAATATTCATTGAAAAATCAGTATACAAAAGTGGCCTTTGTGTACATTGTGATAAAGAGATAGAAAATCACATACATATATTCACATGTAAGAAAAATTTAGTGGATATTAAAATGTGTCAAAATAAATTTATTAGTTTATTAGTGAACCAAATCAATATCATAGTAACAAATACCTTATGTAAAGGTATCAAAAATCTAATTGATAGTTTATTTGAACTTAAAGTCACAAACACTGGAATTAAAGTTCTGCATAGGCCTTAAGGCTCGCGAGCCTAGCGAGCTGAGCCAATCCAAGCTGAGCCAAGCCCAACCAAGGCCTGGCTCACAAGGCTCGAGCCTTAAAAATTTTGGGGCTTTAAATAAAAGCCCACATAATTTTTTTTATTTTAAAATTCGTGGCTTTATTTAAAAGCCATGAATTTTTTTTTAAAAAAAAAATTATCCGTTGCTTATGAGCCTACTATGAAGCTCGCGAGCCTACTATAAAGCTCGCGAACCTACTGTGAAGCTCGCGAGCCTACTATGAAGCTCACGAGCCTACTATGAAGCTCACGAGCCTACTATGAAGCTCGCGAGCCTACTATGAGGCTCGAGCTGAGCTGAGCTTATATAAGCAAGGCTCGGCTTGACTCGAGCCTAAGACTTTTGTGCTCAGCTCGGTCTGAGCTTTATGAGGCTTGGCTCAGCTCGGCCTATGAGGAGCTTTAACTGGAATTAATAGGGATCCAGATGAATTTTTATTTGTAGACATTTTATTAGACTTAATACTTTCATCATTGCAGAAGTTAATCCTGTTTTTGACAATTACTATAGAAAAAACAAGTCAAATCTTATATAATGTAATGGAAAAATTTAAAGGTTATATATATAAATATATTTGAATTATAAGATATAATGATATTAAAAAATAGGAACTTGATAATGGTATCAAAAACAAAAGAAAAAAGAAGGTTGGTTCTATCTTGATATTTAATTCAGTAATTAGTTTAATCTCTACTGATTTTAAAATAATAATAAAATTCATAGAGATAAAAGAATTTTTAAAAATATTTGTTTTAATATAATCAAAAAATTTTTATTTCAATCTATTCAGAGTAATATTAAATAGACAGGATTATATAAAATAGGTTGTTCAGCAGGATCTTAACATGCTAAGGATAGCTGTTGCTATCAGGTGGTAGGTTGCAGGTATTTCTCTTTATAGAGTTAGTCTAAGTCCCATTTTTAAAATAGTTATTAGGATAAGTTGTATATTTTACTTTATGTAATAATAATGTAAAAGATTTTATCTTTTCTTAATAAATTTGAGGTGAGGTCTCACTGGAACAAAAAAAAAAATAATAATATTCATTGAAAAATAGAATTTTGATTTACTACTAATTAAAAATATATGACATTAATTTTTGAAATTAATAGACCCACTTCAAATTATTTTTGTTTATGGTGTGAATGCTATAAAAATAAACAGTGAGATATAAATAAAAAAATTGGTTAAATGTAAAAAATACTAAAGATATTTATTTAATATTTATTTAATTTTTTTAAAATAATTTTTAATTTATTAATTATTTATTTTAGACAAAATTTGTACAAGTCTATTGCCATTTTAACTATCAAATATTGTATATTTGATGAATTTCATTTAATACTTAGAATTGTTAATATATTACTAAAACTTTTTTTCATGAAATTAATACACAATCTATTGATTTTTAATAAAATATTATTACATAATACTATATCAACTTGAGAAAAATAAAATTTAAGATGTATAAAATTGGTATAACTAGTTTAAATTTATTCCATCTAAAAAAAAAACAAATGTGCTAAGTGGAACTGGTACATATTAATGGAACCTTCTAAATTAAAAATTATTAAAAACTTTAAAGAGACTTTTATAATTTATATTGTATTATAAAAAATATGAATTTAACTACAGAAAGTATTATACAATTTTCATATAATATATATAAATAGATTCAAGAATTCACAAAACTATTAAAAAAAATGACAAATGATTAAATAGTATAAGATGGTTTATATCAAAGAACAGATATCAGTTCATATATACATGTATTTACATTTCATGTACTATTATTCATATAGAAATTATATCAACAAAATTTATATTTAAAATGATTTACAATGTCAAGTATTAAAAAAAAAAATCATGAACATATAAGTAAATTAAAAATTATTTTTTATTTAATTATTTTTATTCAATTATTTTTATTTAATTAATATTTTTTATTTAAAATATTTTAGGTTCATTTGTTTTTTGAAAAAACAATGAATAAAAGAATTGAAAAAGATAAACAATCTGCTGCTTATCAAATTTGTAATTTTGAGAATTGACAAATATATTTTAAAATTAATAAAACATCTACTACATATTCTGAAAAAGTATTAACTATATTTGATAAAGTTGATAATTAGTTTATATTAATTAGATCAAACTTAAAATGATTCAAATTTAAATTATTATTTAATAAAGAATTAATGAAAAATTATTTATTATAATTTTATTTTATTTTTTTTATATATTTTATTATATTTTATTGAATTTTATTGAATATTGAAAATATATAATATTAAGTATTTATTATTTCAATTATTTCCCATTGCACTTCTAAAATACATTCTAAAATTTCACAAGGTATATAAAAAAATTTTTTCTTTTCTACTTTGGTAACTATTTTTTCTCATCAGATAAATATAATTTTCTTTTCATTATATATACTATTCTTGCACACAAAATTATTTTGAAATTCTAAAATTACAATTTCAAAAAAAAAAAGTCAAAATAGTTTTTCATAAAAAACAAAATTATTTTACTTAAATCTAAAATTTTTTGACCATCTAGATTTATTTTTTAATTGAATATACACATAACTGGATACTTTTTTTACTTCTATATATAGAATAGATTCTGTATAAATCTCAAAAAGTTGAAATATCTCAAAAATTCAAAATCAATTTTGGGAACATGTATAATATATACCATTGTTATTCCTTTCCTTAACAAGTACAAATGATTCACTTCCTAATTTATTTTACTTTTTTTTTTATACCTCACATCTAAATATAGTTCCTAATCACTTATATTCACTTTTTCTTTTAAAGGTACAATAGTATTTTTGTATAAATAATCTATAAAAAAAACTGATTCGTTTGAAAAAAAAAGTAAAATAGATCTTCTGAAAATTTCTACTGTAATTTTTTTATATCTTTGATTATTTGATGAAAGTCTAACTTAAAATCAATGTTCTGAAAAAATGATATTCAAAAATGATTTATAATATCCTTAAGAATATATGAAAAATATTGATAATATGAAACTATATAGTTTTCATTGTACTTTTTTTTTTTATATGAGCTTAAAGAAGATTTTGATAAATACAAACAGTTACAAAAATAACATAGAAATGGCTTATCACAAAATACGTAAGATGTACAAGATGGTATTTTTATTTACATTAATTTGTTGTATATCACGTTGTGTATCATTTTTATTTGATAATATTTATTCCATTATATATATTGTACAAAACTGATTGATCGACATTATTCAATAATTATATTACATCATAGAAATTGGTTCATATGTATTTATATGACAAGTCACTCAAATGATTAAATGAAACTTTACAAATATATTTTTTGAAGCTTGTTTTTTATATTCACTAGCCTAATCCAATTTAATTTAATTCCCTATAAAATTTATTTAAAAGTATTTTTTTATAACAATTGATTATATAGACTATATAAAAACTATTACTATTTGCAGAGCAAATAAAGTTAATTTTAATATTTTTAGCATTTTAAAATATATTATTAAAATGAAACTTAACAATAATATTATTTATTATTATTATTATTATTATTATTATTATTTATTATTATTATTATTAATTATTATTATTACTATTAATATTATTAAGTGAATACTTTGTATAAATATAACAAAAATATCCTTTTTACAACAAATATTAAAAATTCAAGACATCAAATACTTATATTACTTATATTACTATATGTTAACATTGTTAAGTAATATTAAAAATTTTTTATATATTTCTTGGCTTTTATTCATTTCTATTATTTCATTTTCTTTTACTGAAACATTATCTCTCTCTTTTCTTTCTTCAGAGATTAGGATATTTGATCTCTTTTTCAATCTTTTTAAAAATAATTTTGCATTATTATAAATTTCCCATTTGTAATATTTTTTACAATAACAATAATTATATTCAAGTATTTGATAATATTCATAGTGATATTCATATTCACAAGTCAATACTTCACCATTATCAAGTTTTTTGTGATAATAATTCCAAGTATCTGGTGATAGGACATACTAGTACTGAATTCAGTTAGAAGAAACTGAAAATTTATAATAATATCTAATATAATTAATTTATATTCTATTTTTTTTTGTTTTGTATAATTTACTTTTTTCAGAATTTTTAAAAATTTCTTGAAAATATTTTAATAAAAATAGTGATATTTTTTCTATAAGAAAGTTTAAAGATGATAGTTTATAAAGATATGTTTTTGTTTTTTCAAAAATGTTTTTAATTTCACTTTGATTTTGTTCATTTAATAAAATTTAAAATTAAAATTTATTATATTATAATTGATAATTATAAATAATTTTATAATAGCATCAGAAAATTTTATAAGATGAAAACTTGTGAAAATTTGTACAAGTTTTTAAAGGTATTAAAAATTTTCACAAATTTTTGTGTATTTTTTTTCATTTTTTAATTTTGTTTACGATTTTTGAAACACAGAATAATTTTCTACTAAAATGTTTCTAAGATAGATAGAACAGCTATGTTCTTGATTACAAAATGGTATATGTTTTATCCTTGTAGTATCAATATTCATGAAGTTATTTTAGTTTAAAGAAAAAGTATCTGTGAAAAAAAAATTATATAAAAATTTTTAGAAACTTGCAAAAATTTTGGCAAAAATTTGCAGAAATTTGTACAAGTTTTCTGGAAATTTTCACATGGTTTTTTCATGTATGTTCTTTCTTTAAACCAGAATAAATTTGCAAATATCAATATTACAAAGATAAAATATATATCATTTTGTAGTCAAGAACAAGGCCATTTTATCTATCTTAGAAACATTTTAGTAGAAAATTATTCTGTGCTTCAAAAATTGTAAGCAAAGTTAAAAAACAGAAAAAAAAGTATAAAAATTTGTGAAAATTTTTGATACCTTCAGAAATTTGTGCAAATTTTTACCTCGTAAAATTTTCTGATATAATACCTATTACAAAGGTTTGCTTTATAATGTTATCTACATTATTGTCTATATTTATACTGTATATTCACATATCTTACTGTGATAGTTTTTAACATAATAATTATTAAAATTTACTAAAAATAATTTTACAACTTCTATAAATGGATATTTTGTATCTTTCCAATAAAATATATCTAAAAGAAATGTTAAAGGTACTTTATTATAATTATGTCTTTTCCAATAAAGAACAAAAATCCAAATTCAAAAAATAATTTCTACATATTCATTAAATGAATCAGATCTAAATAAAATAATATAAATATCTAAAGTTGCTAGAATAATATTATCTAATAAATCTAAAACCATCTGATATTCAATATTTTTATAGATATTTTCAAATTTTATTAAAATTGTTTCTCTTATTTTATACTATTCATTATAAGCCAAATTAAAAAGTAAATTTATGTGCCAAGGTTTTGATTTTTTTGTTAATATTTTTTTTTTTCAAACACAAAATAAAATAATTTTTGAAAATAAGTATAATAAATAATTAAAACATGTTCTTTACTATTAAAAGAAAATAAAGAGGACCCAGAATTAGAATAAATAAATTAATTCTGAAAGATATTGAATATTGTGAATTATCTTTATAGAGATTTATTATTGTTTTATATATAAATAGCTGTTCTGACCAGTATTAACTAATGGTGTAACTCTATTATATAGAATACCAGTATTATTGTCAATATCAGACTTAATTATAATATACTTATATAATTATTTATAAAATATAAATCTTTTTCTTGAAGTCCAATTGGTCAAACTCCTTTTATCAAATGTTTCTTTTTCTTTTTTACAATTGTATTATTATAAAAATGAACTGTAAATAATTCTATTTTATCAAAGTTATTGATATCTAATTCTCTATTAACAAGCTATTGTTTTTTACAATTGATATAAGAAGTATCAAAAGTTTCATGATATTGATTTATTAGCCAAAAACAAATATTACTGACATCAATATTTACTAGATTATGAATTGAAGAATCATTGAAAATAATTGATACTAATATATATACTAAAACTTGTTTACAAATGCAAATAGTCATATGTTTTGCAATTGATAAGATTGTTATATTAGGTCTGTTCTAATTATATATAATATGAGATTAGTATAAAATTATTTTTTTTTAAAAAATAATAATAATTTTACTTGTTCTGAAAAAAATTCTTTTATTTTTAAAAGATGTTCATTTGCAAGTTTTTATTTAAATTATTAATTATTATATAATATTATACGTGTTGCCCAAATCCCAAATTACTAGTATTTGGGATTTGGGATTTGGGATTTCGGCAAAAAATACTAATCATAATTTGGGATTTGGCATTTGGGATTTTGGCATTTGGGATTTTGGCATTTGGATTTTGAATTTGGGTGGCAGGTATATATAATATGCAGATAATTCAATATTATTTAATGTATCAATGACAGTACATGATACTTCTGATACTAATAAATATAATTCAATTTCTAATTTAAAATCATTAATAAATTTGTTTTATATTTTAACCATTATGTAATATAGGCTTACAATTGTTTTTTTTTGCCTTAATTTTATTATATAAAGATCTCTTATCAGGAATCAATATCTTTTTTAATTTATCAAAAAATCCTTATAAACATAAATCAAATTCTACAATCATTTATTAAAAATAAACAAGATCAAACTTAATATTTTCATATTGTATATATAAAACTTTTGCAAATATACTAATTTGTTTAATAAATGAATAGTTTTTAATTTTATAAAATAAAAAATTAAAATTAATTATATTATATTATAGTATTAAATTTTATAATTGTTAATTTTATCTTGTGTTTTTGACTTTTGATAATGGTCAGTTTCAACAATACTCAAATAATAAATATGACATAACTGTTTTCCAATTTTTAAATAAGGATAAAATTTAAATAATTCATTATTTTGGATTTTTTTATATGCTAATAAAGTAATTTGACAAAAGTGGAACATTTGAAGATTACAATTTGTACTGAGCAAGAACTAGAGTTTTTTTTTTCAAGACAATAAAATAATTTTTTGTTTTTATATATTCATATTTAAAAAAATATTTATAAAAAATATTTATATTTTAACTAATTATAAGTGTTAATCACTAGTCAATAAAAGTAAACTATTTCTATATTTTTTTTTCAAGAACAATTTAAATAACCAATAAGAATTAATCAGTAGTTAAAGTGATTATAAATAAATTTTGTGTGATACATGAAAACAATTCAATAAATAATAAGTACATATTTAATATATGAAATAAACAAATAAATTTATTGTAAATTTAATGAAAGAAATAAAAGAAATAATAAAAATATTAATAAATATAAATACCAATCAATAATTTATTTTTCGAAATATTCCTTTACAATTATTAATTATTTTATTAAATAATAATTTATTAAATAATCATATTAATTTTATTCAATCTGAAGATTTAAGAATTTATATACATGTACATAAGCTCATATAATATATTAAATCTATCCATCCATTTATATATAATATTTACTGCTCACAGTATAGGGCTAGTTTGTTTTTATTGATTTAAAATTTATATCATATGATTATAAGGATTAAAATTTAATTTTTTTTTTACATGATAATAAATGTATTTACAAACTCTTTACAAATAAACCATTTGTTTCTTTTATTATAGCTGTAAAAAAAACCATGGTCTTTGTTCTGTTTATAATTATAGTTATAAGCAAAATATGTATTGTCTTTTTACATTTCTAGTACATAATAAAACTAAAAAAAAGAGAACTTTTAAAACTTATTCATATTTAAAAATTGAACAACAACTTTGTTATTCCCATTATTTACACATAATTGAATCTGAACATAATAATTATTTGAAAATATCAGATATATAAGATAATTATAAGTTTATTATAATATTAAATTATATATAAATATATATATTATTTTTTTATAAAGTTAAAGAATTACACTTTTGTAGAGCAAGTTACGATACTTACCAAAGCTCTATATAAATATTGCAAAAATATTGAACTTGATCCAATCCATTTTCAATAAATGATTTTGAAAGTTGAACCACAATTGGAAGGTGTTTTTTAATAAATTAATAAAGGTATTAATTCCTGAAAGAAAATTAGAGAATAATAAAATTGAAGCACAAAAAATGATTGTAACAATATGTTATATAATGGCAGAATTACAAAATAAATTTGTTAACAATCTTAAAATAGAGATTGAATTGTACTTGTTTGCATCTGGCACAACACACACTGCAATTGATATAATGAACAACATTGATATTTCTGCATGTTATACAACTGTGAACAATTTCAAACAAAAAATTGTTAATAAGCATCCTTTTAAAATTAAGGAGTTTTTTAAAGAGCATGTAATTAATATTTCAATTTTTAATTTTTTTTTATTAATAAAATTAATTAATAATTAATTTTATTTGATAACTAGAATAACTATTTATATATTTATAATTTGGATGATTATTATGGCATATATAAGAAAAGACAACTTGATACTGTACATTTATTTATAGCAATATATATGGCTACTTGCATTTACAAACAAGTGTTTTTATATGCATCAATATCAATATTTAATGACATATCAATACACAATCCAGTCAATATTGATGCTAGTTACATAATACACAATTATCATAGAATTTTTGATATTACATATACCAACTGAAAAATACATTGGTTTTCAAATAGAAAATCAAATATTGAAAATTTTGATCAAATAGATTTACTTACAATTTATAGTTATGATGATGCAATAGTAGAAAGAAAAGAAGAGTGATCAATGAAAGAAGTAAGGTTAATTGGACTTCAGGAAAATTTACACTCAATGAATGATTATATAATGGCATTACAAATGATATTGGATATTAACAATGATATTGGACATTTGTATAATAAAGTTACTCCATTGGTTGCTAATTGGCCAGGACAGTTATTTGTTAGAAAAGCAATAACTAACTTACATAAGTCAAATTCACAATACTCTATACCCAATGAAATTAACTCTTTTATTCCAATTTTGGGACCATTACATGTTTTGCTTAACAGTAGGAAACATGTTATATTAATTTATCATTCATTTTTTGAAAAACTTTTTCATTCTGTATTTGGATAAACAAAAATATTAGCAAAAAAACCAAAACCATGAAGAATTAATTTGCTTCTTGATCTGGCATATAATGGATGGAATAAAATTCAAAATATAATTTTAACAAAGTTCAGAATAAATAAAGATATTGAATATAGAATGATAATTGATTTGTTGGATAATATAATTCCAGCAACATTAGATATCAATGCCATACTTTTTAGATCTGGTTCATTTGAAAAATATATAGAAACTATTTTTAGAATTTGGACATTTGCTCTTCGTTGAAAGTAGCATAATTATAATAAAGCACCATTGGCTTTTCTTTCAGATATTTTTTATTGGCAAGACATCAATCACCCTTTTGCAGAAGCTATAAAATTATTTCTAGTAAATTTTAATGACTATTATGTTGAAAACATGCATAGCAAAATTAGAACACACACACCACCAAACAATAATGTGGACACTATAATAAAACAAGCCTATGTAATAGGTAAAATTTTAATTATTAATCTGTATTATAATTAATAAATTTAACTTTATTATAATTTTTATATTTATATATACACGAAATCATTGTGAATTTAAAGATATTTTTGAAAAGAAAAAAAATTATCCTTATACACAATCATCATTAAATTCACTTACAGAAAAAATGGCATTATTTTTGTTAAATTATTTTCAAAAAATTTTTAAAAATTGTGGGAAAAGTAAGATAAATAAAAAAAAAAGAAAAAAATAGAATGTATATTAACTACATTAGGAGAAACAGTAGGTTACAGTATAAGTGTACCACCATCACCAGAAGAGTGTGATATTTGTCATAAAAAACTTGATAATGAAGAGGTGTTAATATGTGGACATGGGTATCATTTTGCATGTTATCAAAAAATTGTCGATATTGTGAGGAATATTATAAATGTAGAATTTATAATAATGTGAAATCTTTTTTGAATCGTCTAGAGAAAGGTCCTAATACTTTAACTTCAGAAGAAATAGGTGAATATGAAACTTCTGTAGATGATGAGGTAATAGTAAATGATGAAACAAATAATAATCAAGAAATACAAATTTTATTATAACACTTAATAATGTTAACACTTGGTAATAGTCTATAAACATTAATTAATATATTTTAAAGTTAAAATTCAATTAAATAATATTAAAAAATACTCATATTATTAACTTGACAGACATTGAGATCTATAGAGATCTGAAATGCTCAAACAAAAAAGCTTTTCTGAAAGAATATATTTGCAAATTTTTTGGATACGAATAAATAAGTAATTCAGAATTTTTTAATTATAAATAGTTGTGTAACACGACGATCAAAATCTTAACTTTCCCTATGCTGAAAAAAAAGACATCGTAATACATAGGAGAGTTACATAGAAGAGTACACAGGTTGGAAGTACGTACATAGTAGAGAGTATATAGGTAGAGAGTACAAAAAATTTAGTGGTAATAGTTTCTAGTTCAGTAGTTGGTTTGGTTGGTAGATTTTTTTTTTTTTTAAATAAATAATGGCAAATCTAATTCTAACACCTGAAAAAGTTCAAGAATTACTTAATAAATTATCAACAACCGAAAAAGCTTTAAAAGAAGCACAAGAACAAGCTAAATTATTATTAGGTTTGGCAAGAGATTTTACTAAACTTTTGGAAGTTCCGAAAGATCATAATGTTTCAATTAAAGTTGGGAAGGAACCAAATGTAGAAATATTTAATGTACATTCCGGTATACTTCGTACGAGATCATCATATTTTGATGTGGCATTTTCAAATAAATGGGTTAATAAAGATAAGGATAATGTAATATTATTTCAAAAGGAAAATATTACGCCAAAAATATTTCAAATTATATTGAGGTAGTAATTGATTAATTAATTTTTATCACTTTTCTTATCACCTTAATTATTTTTTCATCACATTGATTATTTTAATTATTTTTAATTTCTTTAATTAATTATTAGATATTTATATGGAGGTTTTTTGGAATTAAATGAAATTTCACCAGAAGAAGTTTTTGATCTTTTAAAAGCTTGTGACGAATTTTGTCTTGAGGAAACAATAGATTTTATCCAGGACTTTCTTTTAGAGAAACATAAATCTTGGATTAAAAATAATTTTTTTTCAATACATCGACTTTGTTCAGAATTTAAATCATTTTCAAAATTAGAAAATTATTGTAATGAATTAATCTGTGATAGACCAGCAATTATATTAAAGGCACAAGATTTATCAATAATTGAAAAATCACAACTTATTTCTTTATTAAAACGAGATGATCTTTCAATGGATGAAATTGAAATTTGGGAATGTGTAATTAATTGGGCATTTACTCAACTTCCACAACTATCGCAACTTCCACAATCCCCACAACTTATGCAACTACCGCGAACTTCACAACTATCACAATTACCACAAACTCCACAACTATCACAATTACCATTAACTCCACAATTATCGCAACTATCTCAACTTTCACAACTTTCACAAGTTTCACAGCTTCCACAAATTTCACAGCTTCTACAACTTTCACAAATTTCACAAGTTTCACAGCTTCCACAAATTTCACAAATTTCACAAATTCCCTCACGATTAAATTTAGATATTTCTAAATGGTCATTAGAAAATATTGAAATGTTTAAATCGACATTAAGTGGAATTATTCAACATATTCGATTTACTGGAATTAGTTCATCAGATTTTTATAAAAAGGTTAAACCATATTCAAAAATTCTTGGAGAAGAACTATATGAAGATATTTTACAATATTATCTTGATGACGATTGGAATTCGGGATCAAAAATATTTTCCAAATTACCTGGAAGAAAATGTTTAGATTCGAATTTAATTACCAAAGTGCATACATCACTTATAGCGAGTTGGATTGATCATAAAGATTATAATGGTTACGATATTCGATCAAATCCTTATGAATTTTTATTATGCCTTCGAGGAAGTCGAAATGGATTTACACCAGCAATTTTTCATGAAATGTGTGATAATCAAGGACCCACGATAACAGGTTTATTTTTTCATTAATGGAATTTAAATAATTTTCATATCTCAAATTGATTTTATAATATTTTATAAATAATTAATTCAAAAAAAAAAAACAAAAATTAAAAAAATTTTTTTTTCTTAGTAATGAGAGTTAGGGAATCGGGAGAAATAATCGGAGGATATAATCCTCTAAGTTGGAATTCCACGGGATTTAATTCAGAGTATAACGCGACGGATGAAAGTTTTATTTTTAAATTAGATAAAACAAATATGGAAGATTCGATAATAAGTAAAGTTGTAGAATTTTCGAGAGCCATATTTCAACATCAAGAATCGGGACCAAATTTTGAAGATTTAAGAATGTATAATCATTTCAATTATATAAATTCATGTTATTATAGGCCATTATATTATCAAAATAATTTTTTAATAACCACGACCGACGGTGAACATTTTTCGGTGGACGAATATGAAGTTTTCCGAGTATTAAAGAAATAAATTAAATTAAAAAAAAAAAATAAATAAATAAATAAATAAATAAAATTTATAATTATTATATTATCAGGTAAGAGAATAAATATATTTGAGAATAAATGTACGAGAATAAATTTAAATTTTTGAATATATTTTATTTTATATATATTCATTGTTGACTGAAAATATTGAATTTAAATACTACAAGTTTTATATATAATTACGTAATTTCGATTTGTATATAAAATATCATTTGATATTAATAATTAATGATGATGATGTTATATTATAATATATTAATAAATTATATATTATTATTATTATTATTATTATTATTATTATTATTATTATTATTATTATTATTATTATTATTATTATTATTATTATTTATTACTAATTATTTATTTTTACTAATTAATTAATAGTATAATTATTATTATTTATTACTAATTATTTATTATTACTAATTATTAATTTTTACTAATTAATTAATAGTATAATTATTTCTATTTTTCAAAATATCATTCTCTCTCTATTTTATTATTATTATTATTTTAAAGATGCATGAGATGCTTTTTTTGCTTTACTTGTACAAATAAAAATGAATTTAATAAAATCATCAAATTATTTTTTAATTAAATTTCTAAAATTTCAAATGATCTAGTCATGTAATTAATATTATAATCTATTCCGATATCATTATTATTATTATTATTATTATTATTATTATTATTATTATAATTAACATAATTATTATAATTAATATTTATACTATTACTAATATTACTTATAATTTTATTATTATTATTATTATTATTACAATTTTCTCCATTAAATCCTTTTCGAGGTAAAACTTGAAATACTTCATATTCATCTACTGAAAAATAACCAGTATTTTCCCTAATACTAAAATCATAATCACCTTGTTTACAACAACATCTTGAATCTAATTTGAAATTACCTGCCATCTTTAAATCATCTCTACCAAATGATGGTCCATAATTTGAATAATAATTAATCGCTCTAGTAGCTTCTCGTACTCTACTAACTATATTTCGTGAGGAACCTGAACTTTCATTTCCATTATTTCGATTATTATTATTTTTATTATTATTATTATTATTATTATTATTATTGTTGTTGTTGTTGTTGTTATTGTTGTTGTTGTTATTTTCATTATTTTCATCATTATTATTATCGAAATTTGTAAAGGAAGAAGAATTGAATGTAGAATTATTTTGAGCTAAACAAAAGATAAAACTATTTTCAGTATAACCCCAAGTATTTTGTGATAACCAATGAATCGGTGTAAATCCTCCAATGATTTCTCCAGTTCCATGAATTTTTAATATCGTAACCGTGGCTGCTTGAGAATCACATCGTGAATGAAATTCGGTCCCCGTGAACCCATCTCTGCTTCCTCTTAATAATAATTTAAATTCATAAGGATTATTCCATGGTTCATAAAATCCTATTTCTTCTTCCCCACAAAATTCTTCATTACAACTATTATAACTACTACCTCGACTAGAGATATCATAATCATAATTATTATTATTGGAATTTCTTAAATCACATCCATCAATCCAACTAGCAATTGTTGCTGCATGTTTTCTTTCAATTATAAATGAATCAATTACTGCTCGTTTGGGTTGGATTAATTCAAAATCTGGTAAATGCCCTGGTACTAAATGATATTGAAGAATTTCTTCATATAATTCTATAGGTAAAATTGTTGAAAATGGTTTGACTTTTTTATAAAATTCTCCACTAGAAATTTGAAGGAATCTTATGAATGGAATAATTTTTTCAAGTGTAAAACCTAAAATTTGAAATTCTTTTGATGTCCATTGAGAAAGATCTTTAATTGGAGTAGAAATTGTTGGTAAATATGATGAAAGTATTGAATTAGTTGAAATTTTTGAAAGTGTTGAAAGTGTTGAAAGTGTTGAAAATGTTGAAAATGTTGATAATGTGTTAGATGTATAAGAAGAAGTGGAAGAAGAAAATGAAGAAATCGAATTTGCCGGAGATGATGAATATTTATTATCTTGTTGTAGTTGTTTATTATTATTATCTTTATTATCTTTATTATTATCTTTATTATCTTGATGTTGTTGAATAATTATCCATGCTTGATAAATTCCCCATTTAATCACATGTTCCCATAATATTATTTCCTCGATTAATAAATCATCTCGTTTTAATAAAATTATTAAAGAATTTTCATCCAACATTGAAAAATCTTGCGCTTGAAATATTAATTCTGGTTCATAACGCATCATATCTAAACAATATTCTTTAAGTTTTTTGAAAGCGCAAGAATGTTGAAATGCTATTCGATGAATCGTGGCAAAATTTCTTTGCATCCAATTCGCTTTAAAACAAATTAAATAATCTTGTACGTGATCTATTAATTCTTGTAAACATAATTCATCGGCCGCCACTAATAATTCAAGAATAATTGAGGTTTCGTAATCTTCTATCATTATTTGTCCCGTATAAATATATCTTTATAATAATATATTATGCAAAAAGTTAAATTAATATGTACACAAAAAAATAATGAATAAAATGTACATATATATTTAATACATTAACACATTGTAATTATAACATAATAACCATAATAACATATGATAATAATAATAATAATAATTACAGTTAAAAAAATACTCACTTTAATATGACTTCAAATACAATTGGACGAATATTAGGTTTATTAAAAGTGATTAAATTATTTTCAATCTTTTGCCATTCGGTTGATAAAGCGGTTCTAAAGTAAGGTGAACGTACTCTCAATATTATTGAGTGTGCTCGAAAAGTTTTGATATTTTCTTTTTCTCCTACATTTATTATCATATTATAATCTTCGGTATCCGCTAATAATAATGACAAGTCTCGAGAAAGACTAAAAAGAAATTCGTTATGAATTTTTTCAGGCATTTTTTTTCGTTACGTTTTTTTTTTTTGTATGCGCAATTAAAATTAATAAAGAGTATGAGAACGTTTTTTTTTTTTTGAAAAAAAAAGAAATAGAATTTTAATTTTTTTTTTTTCAAGGAAATGATTAGTTACAGTATATATTGTCCTGTTACGGAAATAAGAATTATTATTTTTATCACAAAATAGTTATAATAAATGAAAATTATTTTAGGTTCCAGTTTTTATTAGTCGGGGGAAATGAAAATTTTTTAAGATAATTTATAGTTTTTAATTGTTTTGTTTTTTTTATAGTTTGGACACAATTTTCTTTTTTTGAAAAAAATCCTAATTGAATATATAATTTTAATATAATTGATATGCACACAATTTATACAGTAAATATTGTTATAAATGTGGCAATAACTGGTTAGACGTCAATTTAGTTTAGTAGGAATGCTAAAAAGGTTAAGGAATTTTTTAAAAAACAACTTTCTCGAAAATCAAATTATTGTTATCATAATTTGTTGGATTTTAAAAAACAAAAATAAAGGTGAATATTAAATAAATAAATAACAAACAGACACATTCATAAAATAAAAAAGATTTCTCGGCATATTTATTTTTTTTTAAAAAAAAAGTTAAGGATTTAAAAAAAAAGTTAAGGATTTAAAAAAAAGTTAAGGAGATGAATTATTAAAATATTATTAAGTTGATTATAAGGATGGAAATGTTAATGGATTAATGAATTTTATTCTTTTCATCTTTGCCATCTTGATGAATTTGGAGACATTTGAATGAATTAGCAACAATCGACGAATTTGGAAAATTGAATTCGCGAGCGAATTCCGATAACAAGTCACCTTTAATATTTAGAAATCATCTTTCTTTCAAATATTATTTATTGTCATTATTAAATAGTCTACTTTATTTTTTAAAGTTGAGGGATAATAGGAGATAAATAGTCACATGAGAAATTTTGATCACTTGATACTCGAAACTTTCCTTGTACAGTACATGCATTTATTCAGGTGAAACGGATTCCTATTATTTATATTATTCTATATTATTTTGATATTATTTATATTATTTATTTATTTCACATATGAATAAAGCCATTTTTGAGTTATTTTACATATTTTTTCATATAAGAGATAAAATAAATTAATAAATTCACTTTTTTGTGTGCAATAAAATGTATGTGTTTCAGGGTTAATAATTATTTAAATCCTTTATTGGTAAAGTATAAATAAAATGTATTAAATATGTATTAAAAAAGAAAAACATATATAATATATTTTACACGTCACGTATTGGCTAGTTTGCCAAAAATAACTGAACTAACTTTTATTTTTTACAAACTACCTTCGATTTCAATATCTGTGTATATTACAATTGAAAATTTTAAAAATCCGAGTTTATTTGAGATTAACTGCAAAATATATGTGCATCATAATTCGATAATTCGGGACTAAAGAGATTTATTTGGAATAATTTCATTTATCAGTTATCCATCTATAGTAATTCAAATTTCTTCTTTTCCATATATGTTTCACCATAATGAACAAAATGGACATTCTTTTCCATTCGTAATATTTTTCGTCATGTTTCTATCATGATTTCTTCATGATTTCTTCATTTATTATCATATGATCAATCATCTCAAACTATTTAAATGTGATGACATATGATGGCATAGATTACATAAATGTTTTGCTCTTTCCGTTTGGCCTTTTGATCAGAAGACTGGTTAATTGCTAGAATTTGAACCTTCTCAAATTTGTCAGTGTGTGAGTTTTTCATAGTATCTAGTTCAAACCATTTAAGCCACCTTTGATCATCATAATTTTGTTTTTTTTTTTTTTGCTTTCTTGTAGTTCAGCCCGGATGGCTGATGATTTGGCTCGTGAATAAATTCTATCGGATGGAACGTGGTTTGCGCAATAATTTAAGTAATTAAATTAATATGTGGATCATCAAACTAACTTACAAAACAGTGACTTATGCATAACGTAAAACACTTTTTTTCAACGTTAATAAAGACCTTGTTTTTTAGTCATATTTTTTAATTCGGATGATGGACACGTTTTATCAATTTTCATAATAACAGATCGTTTCATTCCATTAATACAAAATTTTATTTTATTCGATGCTCACATGATTTTGTCATTGTGAAAATGTATTTTAGTCGCATCACGTTACTTAAAAATAAGTGTATCAAAAAAGAGAAAACTTAACCTGAACCGGGGGGTTTAGATAATTTATTCTAGACCGGGGGGTTCAGGATGTTTAACCTAGACCCTTGCTTATTTTAGAAAATAC